AACATTAATATAAAGCCATGAGCGTTAACCACATTATTTCCTATGAATCAATAATGGTTATTGTGCACATATATATCTTCAGGCCATAATTAAGGTTAAGTTGTTTTGCTTCAGAGCAGCCTATATCGATGAGCGAGTATGATTATGAACTGGTTGACTGAGGGAATTCACCAACTCATCAAAACTATGCCACTCAACACTATGAAAAGATATGCTTGCTTGACCATTACCCAGCTCATTTGCGCTAATCCAACTAATTTAAATCATGTTGGAAATCATACCTTTGAAATTAAATGAATTTACCCGACAACCAATGGCCTATCATCACCACAATCCTTGCTAGAAGTTAAAAATATATTTTCTTATAATATTGGTTAAGGAAAGCAGACAAAAGGATGAAGCAAGGGAATTTTAAAATGAAATTGTATTTCATGTTATCTCAATACATCTACAATATGGTATATATATAGTTAGAGTAGAAAGAGAGTTTTTTATTTTCGGTACAATATTCAGATATTTGGTTTGTCTGCTATTTGTCCTTTATGATCTACCATTAAATTTTTGCTCTAATAGGAGGTAGCAACTTGTCACACAATCCAGCAGGTGTATGTAATTGTATTCAACTACTTCATTTTAATAAAGGGTATAAGGATAACTACGTTGATGGAGTATACCTTGACTAATGAGAAGCTATTGAAATTGTAGTATCATGTTCCATCCCCCACCATCCATGCAAAAGATTTTAATTTTAATGTTGAATTGTTTTTCTGCCATTTGCTAAAATTGTATAAATTTGTATATGGGTTTTGATATTAATTTCATTGGGTATTGTCATGTAAACCATGAGTGATCTTTGATTGGTGAGGAGTTGTTGAAGTTGCGATTGCATGTATTATCCGCCACCATCCATGTGTAAAATTTTAATTTTAGCGCTGAATTATCTTTCTTTCATTTTCTAAATTTTTATAAATTTATAGATGAAATCATATTTTAATTTCACTAGGTATATCCACGTAAACTGGGTGATGACCAAAGTAAAACCACAATATCAAAATCCTTATTTAGAAGAAACTGACGGAGAAATTCCATTAATCAGAGTGTATTATATCTAGTGGAGCATGATAATCCTTTTAAGAAGAGGTAAAGGGTCTTTTATGAATTTTAGTAAAATTACACAAGGCACATGACATAGATTTTTCATGAATACATAAATTATCTAAACTTATTGCTAGAAAAGATGGAATAGTGTAAGTCGGAAGACCCAATCTTTTATGCCAGAGAAGTGTGGTTGATTTTGCAATTGTAAATAATGCTTTAAGATTGAACTAAGACTATTGAGTTAAGGAAGGTTAAAGTAAGGTAGATAACGTTCAAACATGGCCCTTCAAGAATTGTCTTGTTGGTTTGAGAGATAGTAATTTTGTATCTATATGACCTATATGTGATGATATAATAATTATATGATGTTATTTTTTGTATTGAGAGGATATTCTTATGTGAGGGAGCAGGGATGGAATAATGTTCTTTGTTGGAGATATGAAATGACAACCCATTTCCAGCTAAAATTTTGCTATCTCCTTGATATGGAGTGGTTCGACTTGAGATTAATCAGTAGTGAAGGGTGATGTGACTCCCAAACCAAGATACCTTATTTTGGGATTGGAAGAGGAGTCAACTAACGATGCGTTTGAATTGGAGGGAAAGTTAACAAACAGTGCTTTTGAATTGGAGAAAAAGTTTTTGTCGTTCTATTTCAACCCATGCCAACAGTTTAAAATTTTGTGACCTCTTCTATGATAAATTTGATTGTCAGTTGTAGTATGAGAAGATGAAGTTCCCTGATTTGATTGATATGATGTACAAGATTGTTTATTGGAGGAGATTTTTGGACAACCACGGCTTAAATTGTATTTCTTATGGTCATTTCCTTTCATTATCACAAGTGCTTGGTGTGAATCAGGTAATAGTGTAGCTTGAATAGCTTTAGTTGTTTCTTATGCTGGATTAATTTTTTTATTGTGTACTAAGGACTATAGTTCATCAATGCTAATTTGTTATGCCTTAGTTCTTGTGTGCAGAGATTTATGTCGTGGTGAGGTATTTCATAATAATGTTGTAAAGTTCATTTTTGATTGAATGATGCAAAAGCAATTGGAGACTTGATATTTACGATATTTGGTTTTCCAACCCTCATCACATAAATTTAGCTTAGAACCCATGCTAGTAGAGAGCGTGATATAATATAGTATAAGGTTGCGATTAATTATTATCAATGAGTGTCCAATGTTGGTATTCAAGGATTAGTTTTAGGTTTCCACATTTGAGGGTATCTGTCAGGTTGTACAAATAATAGAACCATCTATTCATCCTCCAAAGACATTTGTACAAAATAGCTTGAGGATTTAGGATCTCAACATTGGGCGATTTTCAATTGAGTTAATTTTCAATGATGCTTTTGATATTAGACATCAAGAATTTAATGGAGAAGGAATTAAGGAAATCGTTATACGAGAGAATTGCCCATAGTTATTTAAAATTGAAGTGACCAATTACACTATGATTCTTAGATAGATAGAGAAATAAATGATACAACATGTAGATAGCTTTGTTAAAATCTTTATAAAAATCTATAAAATTTATAAGCTCAAATTAATTAAAATTTACAATTTTTAAATTTTTAGAGCAGTTTTAAATTCATTAAAATTACTTCCATAAATTCCTAAACTTCTATGCATTGATCCTTAGCCCATGTGCCTATGATAACAATTGAGTTTGGACATAAGTGGAATACTATTAAATCTTTTGAAGTCAAAGCAATTTTAATTAATTTTAATTAAATTTAAAACTTTAAAATTAGCCCTCTAAATATACGAAAAAAAAGCTCAATTGCTATATTTTCACAAAAGAAATTAAAAAAAAAATAAATTAGTTTAAAATAAATTCAATGCCCAATCTTTAGTTCTTTACAAGATGAGTGTGTTTGTCTTTTTAGAAGAAAATACTACATCAGGAGTTTCCATTTACGAATATCCATGTGTGAATAGTAGTATTTTAGATGTTATTGACACTATTATGATATTATTTTATCAAAATACCCCCCCACAATACTATTAATAATATCTAAAATACTATCATGCCCATCTAATCCATCTAATCAAGGAAAATTTATTTTATAAGGTGCACTAATGAAATTTTACACCAGGACTTCAATTAATGTTTTTCACGCGTACAAACAGATACAACCATATATTTTCACATGTACAGACAGATCCACTCATATATTAAATTGAGGGATTTTCTACCCATATGTGGTAGAAGCTCAATGATTGAGTATTGATGCAAAACTGACTAGTGATGCAAATTTATCCTGAGCTAATCCAGATATAATATATTTTCCGTTTTTAATTCTTTTTATTCATCTCCTTCCACGAGAAGGAACGAACCCGTCGGTTTGGACTGCATAAAGCGGCAAAGAGTACATACAGGTGAGAGAAGAGGAGCAAAAACAGGGGAGATGCCGATCGAGACTCCGCGAGGGCTCCCTTTCTCCGTCGATACGTGGAGCCACGCCTCTATGCTGAAGCGCCATCATTTCCTCACACATGCCCACAAAGATCACCTATCTGGAATTGCCGCCTTCTGCTCTTCTATTTATTGCACTCGCCTCACCAAAACCCTAGTGCGCCGCCAATCTCCTCAGGTGATTGAGAATCATCGTTTTGTCATCATCGGCTCTGTGGTTTTCACATTGAAATAACCCCCTGTTTTTGCTAATGGTTCGGTTCAATTGCCTGCTGTTTTACTTTTTCAGCTTGAGGATTCTTTGTTTGTGGAGATTGAGTTGGGTGAGTTAATGGTTATCAAAGATCCGGATGGGGATTTTTCAGTGCGTGCTTTTGATGCGAATCACTGCCCGGGTACGTGCCTCTATGGTTTCTCTCGTAGTTTGTTTTGTTCCCCCCCCCCCCCCCACCCTTTACTTGCAAAAAAAAAAAATTGATACAATAGATATCAAATGCATAAAAAAAGAATTATAAATGTCTTGTATAATGTACTGAAACAATAAACAGTGAATGCTTTCAATAATAATGAAAAAAAAAAAAAAAAAACTAACGTTCCCTTCAATCATGCTCCAACCATAGCATCCATAATTCGTTCGCTCAACTCCGTCATCTTGCTTGCACCTTCCCCATCTTGAGTACGTACAGAGAAACACAATGCAGGCATAATCCAATACGAAGAGGAATTACCACGCAGAGGAACCCACGGTTTCTCGAGCACAAAGACAGTCGATATTGCTAGAAGTCTTTTTAGTATTGTATACACTAAAGAACCAAACCATACATTTGTTATTTCTATCTTATCGGAACCAAGAAGTTCTTGTGCTACAGACATGGTCACAAACTTAGAACCGATGCTCGAGAATGTGAAAGACCATCTTACACTTAAAAATCATAAGTATAAAAGTAATACTGATAAGCACAGACGGAAGATATTTTTTCAAATTGTAGATTTGGTTATGATTCGCTCCACTCCCCCAAAGAAAAATTAACGAATGAAGCTTTTCCTAAGTTTAAACCCCAAAAATTTCTTTTTTTCAGATGCAATATTCATTATCATAACACATATGTTGTGTTGTTACCAGCAGATACACATCACTCGCCCACATTTAATGTGGCTGATCTGTATAAATATCACCCTCCTGACGATGACCAAACTCAACTCACATAACTCGAGCGGAGTGCTTCTTAGGCAGAAGGGAACTGATGCGGGATGCATATTTACAATTATATCCCATTTTAGGGGCTAATATTTTAATTATTGTTTGTTTTACTTTTATATTAGTTAGTTTAAACAATTGATTAGTTAGTTGTTAGTGGAATATATAGATGGTCCAGTATGCTCTTTGTAGCTTTTGATTATTTTCTTGTAAGAAATATTATTTTCTGGTATAGAGATTACTCCTTTCTGTCTGTTCTTTTGCTCTATTTTCCTGCTACTGTCTATTTCTTTACAAGTTTGCACCAACATTCGTTTGCCGTCCAACTTTAGGCTGTCATTGAAGTATTATATCATATGGATCAATAAAATAAAGCCAAATATCCAATTATTAGAGCCCAAACAAGAACTCATTCAATACTCATCAAAAGAGAGCAATAAAAAAGGAACAATTGAATTTTAAAATTTGTTATTTAAAACTAAAATTTAATTTCTAGAAGTTTTACTTTTTAAATTTGAAGGCTTGCATGGGCTAGCCATGATGAAAAAATAATCAATTTAGAAAAGTGTTGAAATTTTTCTCTATTAAGAACTTCCTATATTTCTCTTCAAAGTTTTTTTCCTTTTTTTTTTTTCGAATTTTGGTTGATGCTATTCCTATTAATAGGGTTGATGTGTAATGAACATTTTTAGTTGTTGAATGAAAATTATTGAGTGAAGAATTGTTCTTTCTTGGCTTGGTGCTTGGTGACTCAAGTTTGCTGTTTTTTTTTTGTGAGATTTTGTATATATCATTATTTTATTTTTAAGTTTTGTTTTTTATTATCTTAAGTCTTGTTATCATCATTATTTAAATTTTCTCAACATCCCTAAAATTCTATAAAACCATCTACTAAAAAATCCAACTCTTAAATTCAGTTCAAAATTTTTTTTAGACCTTTTGGTCAAGCTAAACAAAACTAGAACCTAGTATTGTTATCGTCCCCTTGACACCCACATAAACTCCTTGAAATTTAATCATCCACTCTAGGGCATAACTACATATCCTAAGACAACTATGCACAAGCATTTTCAGCTTTGTGCAACATGAAATTCTAATTCTTCAATGTGATTTTTCAAAATAGACCAAACCATCCAAATTTAGACTAGTCTTGGCATTTCTAATCACTTTACCGCAAGATCCAAAAGCCTTCTTTAAATGTTAAAATAAAAATCCAAAACTTTTTACACTCCTAAGTCTCACAAAAAAGGTCACCCAACACCATTAGTCATTGTGCTTCCTGCTACAATTCCTCGCATTTGCCTACATCTTCACAATAATATTTTCTAATGCCAACTTGTCCAATAGGATTGCTAAAGATAATTTGAGTACCATTCCACTCGATTTGAATCTTGGAGACAATTTTTTTTGTTACTGACGAGAATTGATCCATCTATAGACATCTTCACAAACATAGTGGCGAAGAATCATCTAAATGAGGAGCAGGCAAGGTGGGAAAAACACCTGCCCACCAAACTCACAGTTTGTTATTTGGTGAAAAACTAGTAGGGTGCTTTGTGGATTTAAAATATACTCTCGCATTATATTTATTTAATTTCTCTGAAGTTTTTAATTGCTCGGACAAGTGCCAGAATATCATTCGTTAGGTTTTTCAAAGTTGTTAAGAGTTGTGGGATGCGTTATATGTTGAGCTTAGAAGGAAGATATCATGCAAACGAAGGGGCATAGCTGGCTTTAGCCTTTGTCTTACAAACTAATGAAACGTCTAGGACTTTTCCAATCTGTCTTTATTTTTCCTTTTCTCTGCAATCATCTTATCTTTCTCATCCTTATTTTTTTCCACTGCCTACCTCTCCACCTTCTTCCGGTGGTAACCAAGCATTCATCATTGAAGCAACCAACTGATTTTTTTTTATTGGATCATTTGGCTTAGAGCGAAATGCAATAAATTTTTTCTTGATTTATCCTCTTATATGTAGCAATCTGAGATAGCTTTATATGCCTTCTTTCAGTCATTGATTTCTTTTGTGGGAAGCTTTTTAATCATTTAAGATCAACTACTGTGCCAAAGCATTAACTTAAAAAATTTGGTAAAAATTGGAACAACACTGATTATTTTTCTTGTTATGCTCTTGTCAGGTGCTGTTATGTTCTTGTTTGAAGGTGAATTTGGTAATATTCTGCATACCGGGGATTGCAGGTTAAACCCTGAGTGCCTGCAAAATATGCCTCTAAAGTATGCCAATAAGAAAGGGAAGGATTGTATCCTAGACTATATATTTCTTGACTGTACCTTTGGCAGATGCTCTATTAAGATTCCAAGCAAAAAATTAGCCATCGAACAGGTTTATGATGTTTAATTGTTGAAATTATTTTATTTGTTTTTTTGATTGATATATCCCTTGTTCTGTTTTATTTTTGTCTAGTAAATCTAACTGGATAATTACACTTAGGTAATAAAGGGCATATGGAAGCACCCAAATGCATCGGTAGTGTATCTTGCTTGTGATATGCTTGGTCAGGAAGATATACTTGTTCAGGTGTCAAGGGCTTTTGGATCCAAGATATATGTTGATGAAATAAAAAACCCAGATTGTTTTAATGTTCTTTCACTAATGGCTCCAGAAATTCTTTCAAAAGATGCTTCTTGTAGATTCCAGGTAGAAATTTTAATTTCTATAAACTCATGTTTATTTTATCTTTTGAAAATCTTTGAAAATCTTTGAGTTGTCGTAAACCTTTTTTTTTTACCTGCTACATGCCGTTTGTTTTATTCAAGTAGTTTGGTAGAAGTTCAGATCTTATGCATTTTTATCATCTCATTCACCTTTGGCGGTGTTTGCTAGCATACTATTAATAGGGTTTAGTCATGGATTTAACTTAAATTCAAACAAACACCTACAAAAATGAAAATTAAATCCGAAGCTTTGTTAAATCAAATTTTTTTCACGTTTTATCTTTATTTCTTTCTTGTGTTCCTTCTTTTTTACGATGTAAATCCGGATTTACTAAATTCGAGTGCGAGGTAAATTTATTTGATCACTCGCGAGCTTCATCTCCATCACACACTGGATTTAATAAATCCAGATTTATGGAATTGCTGGATTTGATAAATCCTATTTTGGTGGTATTTGGTAGCATAATTTAAATAGAATTTAGCCATAGATTTAGCGCAAGTTTAGCCCAATATAAAAAAAATAAAAAACGAAAATTAAATCTAACGCTTCGTTAAATCAATTTTTTTTTTGTGTTCGATCTTTGCTTCCCGCATTCCGTCTATTTTAAGATGTAAGTATGGATGGTGACCATGTAAAAATATTATATTAATAAATTTTAATTATATTCACATAGGTGGTAGTCGGTAACTGAACCTTTTCTTTTGGAATGGGGGTATAGTTTACATTAGACACTATATTTATCAGTATACAATTTAAATAAAGAAATAGGTGTTAGGTACACCCGTCATATTCTGGCTATGACAGTCGTAAGCAGTAGTCTTCGGTGATTGGTAGTTAACAAAAACAAATGGTGACGTCTGAGGTCGACGGTGGTTGGGGGCTATGAAGGCCGACTTTTATCGTCTTGTCTCTAATACGGCGTTATACGTTACAACCGTATTTGGGATATGACTTTACCAAGCAGAGCTCACCGACGACTACCACGACTTTACAAAACCTCACATTTTGTTGTCTCCAATAAATTGAAATATGTCAATCCTCTCTAATAAGCGAGCACACACCTATATATAGTGTGTGGAAACAATCCGATAACATAGAAACAAAAAGGAACAAAATGTCTAAGAATATTAAGGAACAAACTAGCTAAGAATTTTAACAAAAAATAACAATATCTTATTTAAAAAAAAAGTAAAATTGCCTAAAATTTTGGAACTTAAATCACAATATTCGTGATAAAAGTTCCTGTGGTAACCTAAACCTTCCATTGCATAGATGCTTTTTCCAAAGATCAAATTTGTGTCCTCCAGATCACAAAAAATGTTTAATTAGAGAAAAATTCGAGTAGAAACTATGGGGAGAAGGATATACATAGGCTTGTTCTTTATCTTGGATACAGGAGATGATGTTGGAATGAGATTGGTTTTCCTAGTGGGCCTGCGACTGGTGTTCGTAGTGAGATTTATGTTGGTGTCTTGGGAGACATTCGTGGCTTCTGGCTTGAGCAAATAACAAGAGAGGCTTGGTGCCATTCGTCATTCAGCATTCGTCAATTTTGTGCCCAAGGGCTGGGGCTTGAGTATCTTATAATTTTTAGGTGGGCCAAATTGCATAGCTACCCACCTTAATGAAGAAAATTACCAAATTCATGGCGAGGGTCTGCTCTTACTTGTCATGTTGAGCTGTTCTGCACTATGATTGATACGTAATTTTAAGAGTTCAATAACCATTAAATACTGAGTTATTTCTTTGTGTGTCGTGTCTAATTCTATGTGGTTTATCTTCTATTTTTTATGAAAAAAATTTAATTCACTTTGCACAGTTATATCATAATAATTTTTCTAAAGTTGAGCTTATAACTCTCGATTACCAGCTATTCACTTATATTAGCATGCACACTAGTGATGATTTCTAATTTTTAAGAAATATTGAAGATATTATAAAACAATTTATTAAAGCAAAGAAAGATTATATTTATCATTTAGTTTATAGATTCATTATCTTAACTTATAAAATTGCTACTGCTACTATTTAAAAAACATTTTCAACATTGAAGATTTTTAAAAATCAATTACTTAATCGCATGTGTGATGAATGACTCAATGACTCTCTTATACCATAAATTATTAATGAAGTATTTGACTTGATTCTCAAGGAACTTATTGTGCAATATTATAAAGAAATTCAAAATAAATTAAAAAATTTGTAATCATAGTTCAATTTATTGATAATAATAACATGCAAGATTTTATTTTGAATCATGTGTTATTCATTTTTTTAAATTAATTTATTAATGTTATAAATTTGCCCACCCTCAAAAGAAAGATTGGTTGTGCCCTGGATACTAATACTCTACATCTGTAGTATGTCAAAGTTAAAACACAACTATGATTCCTCTTTTTTTTCATTAAAATAAGTGGTACATTTTTAATCTCTCTTAAATGCATTCTTCTGTGGCGGTGCTCAATTATCTGAGCAATATTCAAACTCTAGCTATTCCATTTAAGCTCCTTCAAGCCAAATATTAAATCTTTGTTTGGTGTTGGTGTGGGTGAAACTTCTCACATCATAAATCCCATTTTCTGTCTCAGACAAGTTTTGCATTGGCTCTAAGCTTGAGGCATGCTGTTCTAATATTGATTTTGCTAACATGCTCTGGATGAAAATCGACTGCGGAGAATAAAAAAAAGTACAAATTATGAAAATCCCAAAGTTTGTGTTTAATTTCACAAATCATTACTTGTTGGTAAAAAAGGGGGCGTATGAGGGTATATAATAAGGATAAGTTTTTTATTGAGGACTCGACAAATATTTCAATGATTTATAAGATTATATGCTCTCAACCTGTTCAACCATTTTTATGGGGCTCAAACAAATATCATATGGGTGTTATATCTTTTTTTAGATGCATTATATTTCTTAGTACTGTTTTTGTTGTTAGTTATTTTTGTCATTTACTTTAGTTATTATTATATTTTTTTTTATTTGAACTATACCTAGTTTGATCTCTAGTTGGATCAATAAGTAGTTGAATGTAATTTTTTAGGCGTGTCAATTCGAGCATGCGTGTCGGGTTAATGTCCAGTCCTAAACTATCATGATCTGAATAGATTCAACTAGAACCCGACCCGAATATTATACTGGTTGAAAATCTAAACTTGAACCCGATTCTACCCATAGAAGGCTAACCCAAACCCGATCCATTTAACCTGTTTAATATAAGTGAACAACGGTTTTTGCCAAATTGAGCCAAAATATGGTCAATCTCGAGTCAATCTTGGGTTGAATTTGAGTAAATTTTAGGTTGGCGGGTTAATTTCAAGTCATTTTTGGGTTAGCAGGACAATCCGAACCCGACCCAAAAAATTAAACGGGTTATGAATTCTAACACGAGATCGTACCCCAACCCGAAAAGTATTCGGCTCAACCTGAACCCGGATTTTTCGAGTAGGTTCAAATTGAGTTGGTGTGTCTGGTCAATTTTTGACATCCTTAGTTTTTTTTAATTTTTATTGTCAAATGTCAATTGAGTGCTTATGAGGGATCCGGTCAATTTTGGTGTCAATTTTGGATATCCCTAGTTTTTTTATTTTTAATATTAAATGTCAATGCATGCTTATGAGGGAAAAAGATTTAAAGGGCTTTTACATACACAACACCCAAAACTTTCATATTTACCTATCTCGCACCTAAACTTTCATAATTACAAACACCATATGATAAGGAACACTCACTATCACCTTTTAATAGTCAAATCCATCTTTTCATTCATATGTAAAGTGGTATATGTGTAAAAATAAAAGTTTAGGTGTGAGATAGGAAAATCCATAATAATTGGGTGCTATGTATGTAATTTTCCCAATTAAATAACTTCTATAATTAGAACTCAATTTTTTAGCTTTCATATCTTGGGGATAAGCTAAAGCTCGCTATTTTTATTCCATCATTAATATCCGTGCTCCTTCTTTGGGTTTGTAGCCTCCATGTCTTCCTTTCTGTCTTCGGACTAATCCTCTTTCATCTCATCATCTTCAAGGTTTGCAATTCTATGGTTAGAAGCTCTTTCAATTACATTTAATTCAGTATGTTTTCTAGTTCCCCATTTCAATTTTTCATCACAAAAATCTCTCTCTAATCAAGAAGGGCTCTTACCTAACTGCTTTTTGCCTTCCATGCAAGACAATCCCAAGACAATGCCGAATATTGGCAAATGTCTTTTTATTCCTGATTAGAACACAGAATTCCATTGCTCGTGGACTGCCTTATGCTGTTGTTTAGGCACATGCATGCAATGAGTTTTAAAATTTTACTCTTATCCTATAGGAATGTTAATAAATGGCTGAAGAAATACACGTACATGCAAATATAAGTTACTGGGACATTGTTTTTTCTGAATTCTTTAAGTCACTCATGCACATTCTGTTCATTTCTGTAACAATTAATATTTAAATATTTTAGTTTTTTTACTGATTTTTAATGAGTGATTGATTCGTTTAGCTGATTGAAGGGTTTCCAAGTTTGAATGAAAGAGCAAGTAAAAAGATAGCAGAGGCAAGGGCAAATTTTCAACCAGAGCCTCTTTTTATTCGTCCCTCTACGCAGTGGTACACCACCAATGATCTGGAACATAGACTAAGCCTGTCGGAAGCAGTAAGAGATGAATGTGGAGTTTGGCATGTATGCTACTCAATGCACTCTTCCCGAGAAGAACTTGAATGGGCCTTGCAAATTCTCCAACCTACGTGGGTCATTTCAACAACGCCGCCTTGTCGAGCCATGGAACTTGATTATGTCAAAAAGCATTGTTACAAAACTCGAATAACTCATGATGATCCTATATGGAAACTGTTCAAAGGTAGTATTGCCTTTTCAGCTACCACAAATTCAGAGTTACCGAGGAACATTGATGCTGCCACTGCTGAGGTTTCACAGGTCTCTGAAGAATTTGGTGTTGTGAATCGAAAAGAGTTGTCAGTAGATCATCTTGAGCATAAATTGGATTTTTCTGCTCCACCTGTTGCTGTGCCCATTACATTATTTGGCAGAGCTAGACTTACAGACCAGCATATTAATATCTTACTTGAAGAAAGGAAGCACTGCTCAGCAAATAGTAAGAATATCCCAGTTGTTTCCATGCAAGAGGTTGGCGATGTTCACGACTCTTGGATTATTTCGGAGCCTATGGATACAACCGAGTCTCTTCAAACACGAAAACAGACATTATCTTCGCAGGATACCTTTGTTGGGCCAAATGTGGAGAAAGGGAAAGATATTTATACTCGATATGTACCCAACAAGGTGAATCATGCTCTTGAGCAATTCAAGGGAGTAGATGAGCAAAAGTGCTTGGTAGATATTGCGTCAACTAAGGTTTCTGTTACTGCAGGACAAAATTTTGAGTACTCGAGGGATGGTAATGCTTCTAGTGAGACTGACACGTACTATATAGGATCATCTAAGAATTTAAATGTAAAATTGAGGAGGCTATACAGATCCATGAATGTCCCAGTTCCTTGTCCTCTTCCTTCTGTCGTTGGTCTCATGAATTCTATTAAACGCATTAAGACTGTTGCTGGTAGCGGCTTATAAAATCTGAATTGTTTCTTTGCTTCATTTGACCACATCCCCAGCTACCTCAACATTGGCCAGGCATGCTGTATATAAATTCTTTATCGATTCTTCATGATTTCTGATTCCTCGAAGCAATTGTGATGTCATCAAATTCCGATTGTTGATTTTCAGATTAGATTGCTGTGGTCATTAAATACACAATTTAGTGGAAAAATATGGATGGAAGCTAATTTGGCTTGCTGATTGTAAAACTAATAATTTTTCACATCAGTTATCAAGTATTTATTGTTTTTTTTTATTTGTTCATGTACATCATCTATTGATTTGCTCCTCTATTCTTCTCGACTTACTAAAATAATACAATGTAGAATTGCTTTCCAAACCTTATTATTATGAGGTGACGACCTATGGTTTACTGAAACTCTTATGTTTGAAGTGGTTAACAGCATGAAGATCTGGTAGACTACAACAGGAAAATGAAGACTGGATCTATCTGGAAGTTCTTTTACTTGTTTTTCTTCTATTTATCTCTTAAAAAATTATTGTCTCCTGAAAGAATTCCTGTCATTGTTCTCTTTAAACTTGCATGAACTGTAAAATTCAACCTTCTTTAGCTCTCCGCTGCTCTCAAAAGATATGGATAAGGAATCCATGCATCTCCAATGGCAGCTTATGATGTCTTGATTTGATTAATTGGCTATATGGACGATCTAGCATCTCATATTCTATCCGGAATTGATTGTTACATCTTCCAATGAAATCATTCATAACATGCAAACACTGGCGTACATATCTTTTGATTCACATAACCCCTAATATTTGTTATTGAACATTTGATTCGTAGCGGAGATAGTATAGTAATCAGTCTTCGCCATTACACGAAAAGGAAACCTCATTGTATGTTGGGTATGCCATTTTATACTTGCAGGTTTTTGCCCACTATTTCAATATAGTGGACAAGTCAAAAATCATTTGTACCAAATTCTAGAGCAAGTTCGCACACTGGCACTGCCTTTACTATGGTTCATGCTATTCTCTATCTGTGAAGATTATAGGAATTTTAGTTTCAATCATTTGAAGGCAGCCAACAAGTTCAGAAATGTTGATCTCAACCCTGGCTATACAACAACAACAACAACAACAAGCCTTTATCCCATTAAATGAGGTCGGGTACATGAATCCTTTTTCTCCATTGCATCATATTACATGTCCGATGAATTGAGAAGCAAAAATCTTAGTTATGACGAACACCTTTCAAAGGGAAATTTTGGAGGTGCAATGTTTAAAATCCTTTGCCCTGAACCTTACAAAGGGAGGATAGACGGCATACTTGAGTTAGCCACCTTCATATTGAATGCTAAAATACGTTAAAGTGCCGCTTGCTCTTTGCTATTAATCACGAGTTTTATTGATTTTGAATGCTACAAATACGTTAAAGTGCCGCTTGCTCTTTGCTATTAATGAATTTCTTCTTGAATGATTATTATGCCTTTTGACGTGGATCGCAATGCCATTTGTCAAGTTCAAGAGTCTATTCATCACTAAATGTGTCAGTGCCCATAAGCTGATGCAGAACTCACGAGTTTTATTGATCAGGCGACAACTTAAAAAGAGTCGCAATGAAAGTTTATCATTCACTTTTGAACTTGTGATCAATCTTGTTGCTTTAACTTAGAGACTTGAGAGGGATAATTTAGGCATGTGATGGAACTAAAGTAGCCAAATATATTGGTGCTAAGGTTATAATTCACTAATAGTCACATTGATGCAAAATAACACAATTGTAAGGAGACACCAAAATCTCTATATTTTGAATGTGGGAGCTCATGTTGACATCAATGCCAACCGATTATGAACCGATTATTAATGCAAAATAATACAATTGTGAGGAGATAACCAAATTTTCTATATTTTGAATTATCAATTGAAGTAGTTTCAATCTGACAAAGACCAAAATATACTATGATACACACCAATATCAATTGTCATTTTATCACTTTGAGCAGCAAATTTAATGTGGAAGCTTGCCAACATATATGTTTCCGAAGAACAAATTGCCTCTAGTTACCATGAATGTCACTCATGCCTCTTAATGATTTTTGTATGTTAAGCTAGTGAATATAATTAAGGATAAATAATACTTTCATGGACTACTTTCATTATACTACATATTTTGGATCTAAAAAGATATGATATTTTTTTAAAAAAAATATGATTAGAACACACAAAATTATCGATATATTTATGAACTTATTTAGGAATTTATAGGACAGAATTTAAAAGAGTGTAATCTTATAGAAGGAAAGTCAAGTGGAGAACATAAAAGAAATAAAGGACTAGGTTGCTTAATACAAGTTATCCCATTAGTAGAAACTATACCATTAGTAGAAAATGCTTCCTAGTGTAGTAACTTACAAAAGGAAAGCTTCAATTATGACTCATGAGAAGTACTAGTACAAGTTTTTAATCGTTTGATATTTTGTTCGTTACAATTTTTCTCTATAATCTCAGTTCAAAAATAGCCGTTAAAAATTTACTGTTTAAAAGTTTGAGTTTCAGAAGCAATGGTTCTGTTTTAAAAATTCAGCTTCGAAAGTATTATCTATAGATAAATGTTTGAAATAACTCGATGCTCATGTTATATGGAATTCATATATGTTTAAATTCACAATTTGATGAGGCCTTTCAATATTCGATACATATGCTCTAATACGTCTTCCATCAATACCACCGATATAATCTTATATCAGATAATACTTAATCTAAATTTCATGAAATATTCCATGAACTCTTGTTTTTTTGGAGTATTATCTAATCATTAAGATAGATCATTATAAATCATTTAATCGCTCAATACACTTCATATGATTCTCTGCATTTAATATAATTAGAGCATTGCTAAATCACCACAAAATTAGGAATGATTGTACGCCCTCATGAACTAGAAAATATTACGTTCAGAGTCTGGACGTAACTCTACGTCTCTAATTAAAATTTGACACATGTCTAATATAAAAAAAATATTATTTTATTGTATAAAAAGCAGAGAAGCCTGAAACCCGATCCAACACGTCATGGCGTACAACATGCTTGTATCGAAGAAAATAACTAGTACAAACATGTTGAGATTTGGGGGGTTCGGCCGTTCGTGGGCAGAGAGGTGGGCGAGCGGGGGTCGGTTCGCACGCGAGGGAAGAAGACGAGGTCGGCTTCGTCCGTTCGGCGGCAGAGGAAGGAGGGCTGAATCTCGTCGTCAGAAGAAGAGGCGAGCGGGGATCGCAGAGGAGCGTCCGAGCGGGGATTTCGGCGCAGGAAGGAGAGGAGGTGAGCGACGCCTTTTTTTCTCTGTCGCAGAAGAGCTCGCGGGATCGAAGTAATGAAAGGAGCGGGCTCGAGAGTTGTTACCTGAAGGATTGGCGGGGAATTAAATTGTTTCCATTCAGGTGGCTAGGTTCAAATGGAAAAATTTAACTCCCAATTAAATGACGAATTTGAAATTCAAAAAAATTTAAAATTCAAAATTGTTTAACCTTTGTTCAGCCCGAGTCAAACCTGGGTTGAGTCCGGGCCCGCATCCCTTTAAAGGAGAAAAAAAAATGCATCGATTTTCGTGCAAACTGTGTGCGCGCGTAACCCCAGCAATATGGGTGTCTTTTCTAGCTAAAATCGACATTCCGGACGCGTCGGCGCGGTCCGTTTCGTCATCCGGGATCGTCCGGACGAGTTTGGCCGGCGGGCGAGTCAATTTAAGCCAAAATCGTGTGTGGTGCAGTGAGTGCATGAAAAAATGGCGTTCGCGAGTAATCGAGTCACAAAGGGTCCACCTAAGGCTGTTGATCCTATAGGAACTCAATTTCGGGCCCTCTACATGTTGGTCCTTAGCCCTTGCAACTAAAAGTTGAGTGCTTCGAACCACTCATGCGAGTTCTTCACAAAAATGAGTCAAGAATTGGCTTGAAGTTCTACGGGAGGTGGCTCCATTGCTAGTCCGCTAGGATGGTCAATAAGAACTCCTAAAGCTAGATCCTAGGTTCTAAGAGTAGGAGACCAAGACCTCACCAAAAATGAGGTCAACATCCCTAAGTCACCTGAAGAAGCCTTTCGGTAGCCGCCTTTATTTAATTTATGCTATTGGTTTTCTAATCGTTTGAGAAGCTTATTTTTCTTTATGTACAACAAAAGAAAAAATAATCCTAATTCAAACTAATTTTATAATAAAATAACATGGAATAAGTAATCATGAAATAAATAATTAAAAAAATTACTTGATGTTTATTAATTGAAAGACTTGAATTTTAAAATATTTTAAGCATGATTTGCATTTATATTTATATTTAAAAAAATTACCAAGTGAAGTCGATGTTGGCTAAACTTGATTTGTTAGCTCAGCAAGCTCTCCTCATGAGCCACTTAAGTAAAAATTAGGCCATATATGCAATAATTTTCTCTTTTATCCTGATGTACACTGATTATTTGTGCAAATTATGATGTAACTTCTAATTTCTATTATTTTAAAATTTCAACATGTAATATAACTGACTATATAATCTTATTTATGCTTATAATTGAAATCTCAAGTGCATAAAATATACATTAATTTCTTAAAAAAAAAAAAAAAGGTGCATTTAATGATTTTTAGCTAATGGGCAGGCGGGTTTGGTAAGGTTCGTAAGAGCATTTATTTATTTGTCATTTTCATTGATATATGGACAGATCAAGTAATGCAAGTGCACGTGTTCTTTGTTAGGGGCCTGTGGAATCAACTTATCTCTAATTACTATCATGAATCAAAGCACAACGCTGCACGTTATTTGGCTCTGTATTATTTATGGCGGTCAGATTTTATTTCAGGATATCTAAATTATATATATGAACCGATTTTAAATTATAGTTTGGGGCAGTGGGGGTATTCACATGCATGCTACTATTGAATTCTTCTAGGATGTGAGATCCCATATTTTTTTGTGAGTTTGTACTACATGATGAGGTCCCTATTTTTAAGAAAAAAAATGTTTGGAAGAAAATGATGGATGTGCAGCTAAAGCTTGTTTTTCTCACTCTATATTATATCAAGATCCTGAGGCTGTCGGGAGTGGCTCATCTCTGCTTCCCAGTAACGAGAGAGAGAGAGATAAAGATTCAGACGATCTTTTTTTTCTCATCGATCTAATCCCCCCTAGAAGCTCCATCTGACCTCAATTGTACATGAGATGAAATAAATATTACATTCTCTATAGCATTGCACATATTTGTGGTTTTTTTTGGAAAATGACTTGATCTTCAGCTATTAAGATTAGCTTGAGAATGACCCGATCTTCAGTTATGAGCCTTTGAAGCCCATAAGAGTTGTTGGCCTTATATTATTCTCTTGAAAAAATCTTGTTTAAGTATATGGTCGATAGCCAAAGTCGCACACATGCACACAAATATATTCACATTAGTCAAAATTAGTCCAATCCGAGTGAAAGCAAGTCCAGATCGAATCATTATGTCATTTTGAAAAATTTTAGTGCCTAATTGTAATGTCAAATAACTTTCAAATATGACAAGATTATAGTCAAATTGAGTGTCTCAATAAGATGAATCCAACAAGCCCAAGATCACTCAAATTTGACATAATTAAGACACCTAAATTTTCATTGAACGGCATCCGATCGAGGGAACTTCACTGGGCCATCCAATAAAGTTTTTATGATTCCTTCATTATTTGTAGGGGGACTCTCACATACTCTATAAATAGAGCTCTAACCATTTTATTGAAAGGGAACCTAGACCTTGAACCAGAGTTAGCCCTGTCGGGACTTGGAAGGGAATGAGTTGTGTGTTACACACTGAAGGACTGATTAACACCACATGCTCCTGCAACCGTCAATCACCACATGTCGGCTCTTGTCAAATCCCTTCCCCACCCCACCCCCACCCCCACTGTTCATCACATGAAGCTCTTATAGAATCATGATGTGTACTGCAGAATCCTGACATATGTTACGGAGTAACAACTAGTCTTGTAGAAAAATGAAGTATTTTATGGAGCAATGCTCCTAAAAACTGCTATAACACACACCCTGAAGATGACATAATAATGCCCCAAAGACGACATAATAATGCCCCAAAAACGACATAATAATGTCCCGTAGATGGAGCAACATGCACCTCGAGGACAGAATAACAATGTTGTAATAACTGCTTGCAACCATCGTACTCATGATAAACTGATTTTTTTAGACTTCTAAAACCCTCTTCTCACAGCCCACCACTACGACCTATGTAGTCCACAACTCCCACAGCTCCAAACTTTGGCATCTGTGACTTATGAAAGTTATCACAGATCACACAACTGCAATAACTTTGACCTTTGTGACATACAAACGTGATCATAGCTTGTACATCTCACAACTCCGGCTATTGTGGCCTAGAGACGCTATCATAACTCATGCAGCTACCAATTCTGGCCGATGTCACAACTCATATAGCTCCTGTCCGATTTATGTGTCATGCAAACGTTATCACAGCTCATGCACTCCCGAATCCATCCTCTTCGCCCTATAGATGCTATCAAAGTTCATGTGCTCATGGATCATGCTTATGTCGCTTACAGACGTTATCACGATTCTTGTGGCTTGCAAGTCCGACTTGTGTAGCAGATGAACATTATTATATCTCACCCAACTCTTAGCTCCGACATATGTAGCCTATAGACGTTATCACATCTCATGGCCATGAACTTTATCACGATTCATACGACTCACAACTCAGGCCTCTACAATCTACAAACATTATCACAGATCATGCAACTCTCAACTCTGGTTTCTACAACCTAGGAATGTTATTAAAGCTCACCTCTACTGCTTATGTGACCAACTATGACATGCATAGTCCACAACTCATGCAACTCCCAACTTTGACCTCTACGACCTACGAACGTTATCACAGCTTACCGCTACGACCTATGTGACCAACTATGACCAATATGACTCACAACTTCTACAACTCCCTTCTACTGCCTCAGTGGCTAAACGACACTTGTAAAGCAACTATCACTGACGTACATACAACTATTACCATGACTTTCAACTATAGCCTCTAAGACAAACTTGTGCTACAACAACTATCTTAGGCATTTACGACGGATTACTGCCTCCATGCAATTGACCACAACTTTTGTTGCCCATTGTTATTAAAATATCATTATTCACCACCTTTGAATTTTATCTTCCCCAACTCTGAGAAGAATGAGTCTATGTACTCATAATTATAAAGCGAGTTACCTCAACTAAGTTGTGTCCCATGGTTTTTCACTTTTTCATAATTTTTCACGTAAAAATTGAGGTGCATCATCCTATTTACTCACTCTTACTATATCTTAATCTGTGTTGGATTCACGTGTAATGCTAATATGCTAAAGAACCACTTTGTTGCAGTGATTCTTTTGGCACCAATCAGATTTACAAATATAAGAATTAAGTGGTGTGTATTAAAATATTTCATTATTTTTAGTAAGCCAACATTAAAAGGATGTAAATATATAATCATACAATCGTCAGAATTTCAACGACAATAACATAGTTGCGGGCCGAATTGATGGTGGCCCAAACCGAAGCTGACGGCCCAAACCTCCTTTGCATTATCGTATATATATATATATATTTACACATATATATATATACATTGGGTCCATGGATCATACATCATGAAATTTTATATTCATATTAACATACTTTATAGTTGACTAAGTATATTATTATATGTGGTTTAACTATAGTAGATATGAAAATTAAATAAATCTTATCTATTTATGATTTAAAAAACAGCTAGTCTAATACACTAAAGGACAAGCTCATGATATTTGATACCTTGCAGCATTATTCCAAATATATATTTTTTTAATATTGTCATGGTTTAGTTGAATATCAACACTAAATAATTCCTTTAACTTCAAAATGAATTAAGAGTATATTTAGGATAATTTTTTTCCTTGATACCTTCTTTCCTTTTTTTTTTCTTTTAATAGCTAATTTTTGTTTTAATATTCATTACTTTTAAGGGCTTTAAATTTAATTTAATAATATTAAATAAATGAATATAAAGCTTGCTGGCTAGAACATTGCCACCTAAACAAAGCTTATCGAAAAATTAAACATATAATTAAATAAAATGAAAAGAAAAGTCATTCAATCATAAGACGCAAAAGACTTTAGATAATGACTTAGAGTCAAGAAGTTTGAATTGATTGGCATTATTAGATAACTATAAGATGACATATGAGTTTATATGATTAAAAAATAATGAAAGATTTAGATGCATAGCTTTCTAGATTTTATGTATTTACACATCTAGCATCAAAAATTCAACTTTTACATATATATATATATATACTATCTTATCTAAGTATGAAATTAAAAGTGTATTACTTTATAAAAATTAAAAGTGTGATATTTTAAATATATACATGCAAAGTATTATTATTTTGCAACATTCTTCATAAATAAATTTTTAATAGTTAAAATAATTATAAATTCCGCAATAAAAACAATGGGTGGGAAATTTACTTGCATAAGGGTACCTTTGGGGCAGCTTATTTGGTGTATTGGCATTTTGAAAATGCACCTGATCGGTTTGGTCGGTGTCGGCTTTTCTGGCTACGGTCTGACTTTTTCAAAAAAAATAAAAATTTATAATAACTACCGCACCTAGCTTATCAGCAGATTATTCAATAAGCTGTAGCTGCCCCAAACAGACCCTAAGGTGCGATTCTAATGTATCTTCAAATCGAGCACAAAAAATATGATATTTACACTTAAAACTTTCATTCATATTAACAAACTGCGGCATAAATTTAACGTATTTACCAAAAAAGCCCCCCAAAAAATAAATTATTTATATAGTCTAAAACTCAACTTAGCACCTTCAATCAGTTCAACGAACCTAATAATAAATAATCAGGAAAGAGGTGCTGGCATTTGCTGCTTTCTAACTCTGTCCCCAGCCTTCACCATACTGCATGTAACAAACCTCTCAGTAACAAAAACACAAAAAATAAAATAAAATAAAGAAAGCAAAGACTTTTGTCTCACCTAATATCATGTGGGGTGATGAATATCCATTGAGAACCCTGGTTTACAGCAAATTCAACTAAAGCATCTAAGCTGATTTTTCGGCTCACTGCATCCTGAGATCGACCGATTCAAAAGACCCAAATATGTTAATAAAATTACAAGTTATCAATTCTATATCTCACAGCAACTAAAGGTTCTTGATCTTACAAAATGGCTTACCATAAATACGTCGAATTCGTCCATGGCTCGAAAAGGGGCCTCGGTCATGTCATGAAGCGCTAATGCAAAACAAAGCGTAGAGAAAGAACGCTCTCCACCTGAGAAAGGTTATACATATATCAACTTCATGCTGCTAATGTTAGCCAGGAAATAAAAAAACATAGAACAAATCATAACCTGAAAGGCCTCTGGTGTCTCTAACGTTGTTTCCTGGTGCATCCTGGGGCATCTTTACCTATAAGCAGCACTGACATATGAGAGTGAAGGAAGATGTTTCTCTCTTGAAAGATTTATGTTACATACCATTCAGTTCTTATGTATTTTACATATATAACACTTAACACTTGAATTTTTACATATATGCAAATTTACATATGCATGAAAAGGAGTATTTTACTTTTAAAAGTTAAAAAGAGTGCTGAAGCAAATAGAGTGAAGGTAAAACCGGTTAAGATGAACTGGAAAAGGGTGAGAGACAGAATTGAGAACCTCTACGGAAAGAAGCTTCTTATCATAATCCACCATGATTTTCCCTGATATACCTTTCTTTAGTAAATGTCCATTAAACCTGAGTTAAAATAAAACACGTAAAGAACACTGCAAAAAACAAGCTGCTGGCAGAAGCTGTGTTGTTTTAGAGAGAGAAGCAAATTCATTTTTGTTGCACCCAACTTAATTTTCTGGGGCTTTCACATACGTGCCACCTGATTACCCTATGAATTCACATATCAGACACCTAAACTTCGATTTTTATGTATTGGCCATCCCATGGCTTAGTTTCGGCTATAGATGGGGTAAACTGTATGTAAAAACCAAAGTTTAGGTGTTCGATATGTGAATACAAAAGAATCAGGTGACATGTATGTCTATTCTGCACAGTGAAAATAAAAAAAATTAATAAAATCATCTCCGGTTTATTGGGTGTTAATCAAATTGAGTTTAGAAGCATTTTCCTTTAGAAAACTATAGTGAAAATAACAAAATTTACATACTTCCACGTTAGCTCCCGCTTCAAAAAATTTGCATTTCTATGAAACTTACTCCAACGCAATTCAAGTGCTTTTTCACATGCCTGCAAGAAATTGTACAATTTAGTGCCAAAATATGGAGACATTCACAACCAGGAATTAGAGAAGATGAGTATGATCCATTAAGAGGTTAATAAATGGATTAAAAATATATCATATCATAAAATTCATTAAGAAACAAATGTGCAAAATCTCTGAGTACTCTTATTTCATTTTCAATCCACCTTCTAAAAATAAACCTAAGTCATTTAAAATATATGGCAACTTCATGTGGGTATTTTCAGAGTATACAAATTTCAAAATTTCCTTTTTTCTCATGATGATTTGTTTGTTGGAAGCTATTACTAAATTACTTCTGGTTTTGTTAACCTCCCTGCACTTTAACTTCCAACATTTCTAAACTCAGCTGAACTTGGGCCTCAAACTTGAAGAATGCCCTTTGCTTTAAAAATGTAAATGATGGCAATAGATCAAACCTAGTGGTTTCAAATTTATGTGGCATGGCAGATAGACCCAGTGTTTTATATCAAGATATGAAGGAATGTTACAGTTAATCCATGTCCGCATTTGGGAGAACAACAAAATTCAAGTAATCATTCAATAGCTGTCTTTTAAATACTTTTTTGTTTGGGATTTACCCTGGTAATTCATCGAACTATGATACTGAATATCTGCATAAACGTATGGGTTGTGAAACACAGGCAGTATAAAGAAGACATGAAACTGCAATAGTGACCTTTTAGTATTAGTTCTGAGAAAGTAAAAAATTTACTCAAAAGATAAAATAGTTAAAACATGAAAAACAAATTTAAAAAAAAAAGTGTAAAGAACTCACATTTAACTTCTCACGAAATGCTGCATATGTTAGCTGTTTTTTAGTAATTTTACGCTCCTTTTTATCATGCATCTGTCTGAGATCATCAATGGAATCTGGATATCTGCAAGCATTATCAAGTCAATGACTAGAATTAACAGATGTAACATAAAGAAATATTTTCTATAGCATACATACCTCCGACTCTCTTGCAGCAACCTCTGGCTTAATCTGTTCAATTTAGCACTCAGCTGCTCTGGTGTGCTCCCAGAACAGCCTCCTAAAGCCATCACCACATCTTCTGGGCAAATGATAGAAGCCTTTCTAACATTCTCCTGCAGTTTTGTACGTATGCGTAATTACAGACTAGTGAAAATAAAGAGAGGGATAAAAAAAAAAAGAAAAAAAGAGTAGACTGAATGCACAAATATACAATAAACAACACAAAAAATAGGAAAACAATTACATTACCACCATATTAAAAGAGAAGACGAACTTAAGTTGGATTCATAGATAAACATTAATTAGTATTGTATGAGAAGGACACAATCAATCACAACAGACCCAGTTTACTTTATTAAAATATATTTTCAAGACCAGTCATGAAAATTCTCAGCGAAACACAAGGAAGGATTCGTCAAATTCGTCATTTAACTTCAAGGTTTTTACAATGAGGTACGCGAACAAATTATTTCAATGTGTTGCAACTGATAAAGCAAATCTGCTAACCCAAGGTGCAGGCACAAAAGCGTGCATGTTTTGTAGGAAGAAAAGAATTTCCTGAAACTAGTTAATGGTTCAATTATGTATGTCTATGTTGGTATGCAAACGTTGCCATTGAACTGGGAACAGGTTTCTGAAATTATCCATAGCTTAAATACATTGAACAGCAGAGAGAAACCAAAAAAGAAAAAAGAATAGAATATTAAGGCTAAGTGGGTCAAAAAGTTCATTAAATACAGAAGAAACTCATAACAGCATGTTAAAAAAAACACAAATTATTTGATTAGTCTTCTTGATTTTATTTTGCTTTATTGTTCAATTATTTTGTCTATATATAAGCTTCTATTAAAATAGAACTTAATAAAGATTAGTTAAAAGTGTTTCTCTTCAAACATGATTAAAAAGGAAAGCGAATGAGCATGACATTACATTATACTGATTAAACTGTCATCACATTTACAATGTTTTTAATAGCTTTTGTCAATACCTCCAAAAAATCTTTAGTTCACTCAATACATGGCTCTATTAGTGATGTTGTACTCTCTAATATTGAGTCCTATAAAACCTAATAAGTTTATCAAACATGACAGCTGCTCAAGACGGGCTTCTTCAAGGCTAAATCAATCGGGATTATTGATAACTGGTTCAATTTCAGCTACATGTACATTTAAATAAAAGTTTCCAATAACCTAGATCATGCGTTGTTCAAGGAATACAACTACTTTTGTGATTGCATCAATAAGTTATTAAGCAAATAAAAGAATGAAAATTGGTCCAAGATCACTGGCAAACGATAAGTTTCCAGTATTAACTCATTTGAGTTTCTAGCAATCCAAAACCTAAAAGCAACAAAGGTGCATAAAGCAAACCTAGTAAAAGCTAAGTTATTTATGTGATAATAGATGATTATATTAAAATTTCAAAGATCATTGATTAAAAATATTTCAAGAGAAGAAAATGCTGCTTATTCACAGAATGAAGTCCAAGGTCCACAGCTCCTTTGCAGAACAAATAATTCATTTGCATCGCAGAAAATGTATTCTAAAAGAGTAAACAAACATCAGAACTTCACAGATAACTAATCAATAGTGTTTAAAAAGAAAACTCTAATGTCAGAGAATCAGTCCCGAATAAAATGATAGAAGAGAAAAATAATTTGAAGTGATGCTAAATAGGGAAGTTCAGTGGTTAGAAATGTAATGCAAACAAAAATAAACTGAAATCAATCAACTCTTGACATTGAAGATAAAGATTTAAGAAATGGCAACCTGATGATTGCGCTTCAGCTCATTCAGGTATGCCTCTGCTTCATTAATATCATGCAGTACCTTTTTTTGCATCACTCCCTCATAATGGGCTTTCTCCTGGAAATAATAATTAAAAATAAAAAATAAACACAAGAATAAGAAAATAAAAAATTAAGAACATTAGGAGCGTGGAAAGAGCATGGCATACGGCTTCAGCAGCATTCAGTTCTTCCTCAACTAGTAAAAGTTCACGCTCAGCTCCTTCCATAGTGTCAATTTCCCCTTTAGCTGAATCTAAAATTCAAGTTACGTAGCAAATTGACAATGTATCAGAAAAAGATATTCTGCCTAGGGAAGTGCAAAAATCATGCTGAATTCAAAATGAATTTGCAAAATAAACTTGCTCATTTCATCAACATTTTGGCTTATATACAACCATACAACATTTACAAATAAACGCCAAGACTTCTTCTATTTACAAATAGAACCATATATTAGATACAAATCTCAACAATCCCCCTCAAGATGGGCGAAAGCTATTCACTAAGCCCATCTTGTTACATAATCGTTAACTACACTGAGCTAAGTCCTTTAATGAGGCAGTCGGCCACCTGTTCTCCAACAGCTACATGACTTAGTTCTAACAATCCGTTATTCAGCTTCTCCTTGATGAAAAATCTATCAATCTCCACATGTTTAGTTCTATCACGTTGCATCGGGTTGTTAGCAATGTTTATTGCCGAGTTGTTGTCACACCACAACTTCATTTGATTTCCTCATCCACTTTGAGTTCAACCGACAAGGCTTTCCGCCACATCATCGCAGCAGCACCTAATGTCATGGCCCTGTGTTCTTTCTTTGTTGTTGATCTTGCTATAACTGACTATTTTTTGCTTTCATGAGACCAAGTTGCCTCCTACAAACATGCAGTATTGTCATGTGGATCTTCTATCATCAGCATAACTTGTCCAGTCGGAATCACAAAAGCTACTAGTGTAAAAGTTTCATCGTAATTAATCTCATACGTCTGACTGTAATCTTTTGCCACTAATTGCGCTTTGTACCTCTCCACTTTCTCTTCTGGAGTTTGTTTTACAGTGAAGATCCACTTGCATCCAACTGTCTTCTTCCCTACTGGTAGTCATACAATCTCCCATGTTCGGTTTTTATCAAGAGCTCCAAGCTTTTCATGCATTGCAACTTTCCACTTGGGATTCTCTTTAGCAACCTATCAACACTTGGGTATAAAAACATAATTCAATGATGCAATGAATGCTCCAAGCAAAGGTGCGATGTTTGAATAAGAAATAAAGTTTGCAATGTCAGTATCCCATCCAAAACGATCAAGAGAATGTCCTGCATTGTTGCAGGAGGTCCTTAATGTTTGGGGGGGTGGAGGCGATTGGAAGGAGGAATGATATCACCTGAGAGTTTTGAATCAATGGTGAATGGTCTATGTGTTTCAAGAGATGGGTACAGCTGGGATAAGAGACTTATTGGCACTGCAGAATCTGTTTCCTCGGATTGCTTGTTCCTTCGCGTATACACCCTTAGTTCACCTTCAGTCTGAATCTCATGACCACTGAAATCAATATCCTTGGTTTTTGTCTCCTTGGTTGATTCATCCCACACCACAGGACATGATATTTCTTCCAATTGCACCACTCTATCCCTACTACTACACATTCTCTTGCCTCATATCACAAGTGGTTCTTGAGTCACCAATAGGTAAATTCACCTCCAGAGTGTAGTATGGTTCAAACTCTATGAACGACATATTCATACTCACAAAGAGTCTTCTCAATTGGGCTCCAACATACATAACCCTTTTGAGTAGCAAAATACCCCACGAACACACATTTCACAACTCTGAGATCCAACTTCCCTACAGATTGCATGTTGTTTTTCACAAAGAATACATATCCAAATACCTTCAATGGAAGGATTCCACTATTATCGTCTTTCAACATGTGACAAGAAGACTTCCAATCTACCACTCTCGTGGGCATTCTGTTGATCAATTTAACCGTTGTCAAAATTGCTTGCCCCCATAAGTGTTTTGGGACATTCATCATGATTATCATGCTTCGAGCTACCTCTAAAGGATGTTTATTTTTTCTTTCTACAACTTTGTTTTTTGTCGATGTGTATGAACATAAGTTTGATATTGCATCCTTGGGCTGACAACACCAAATGCCTTGATGGTATATTCTATACCATTATCAGACTTCAATACTTTCACTACAACACTATATTGAGTTTGAATCGCCCAGTGAAAGTCTTTAAAGTAGAGAATCACATCATTTTTATTTCTTATCAGATATAACCAAATAACACGAGAAAAATAATAAATGAAAGTCACAAATATCTGTAACCATTCATCAAAGTTGTAGAACAAGGTCCTCATACATCTGAATGCACCAAATCAAAATTATCAGAACTCTTTTTACCATAACAAACATACGAGCTCCTGGTATGCTTGTCAAACTCACAAGCATCACAAAAAAGTTTTTGCTTGTCTTTTCATACAATAATGTGCATCTAAAGAGTATAAAGTAAGTAAATATATATAGAAGATTAGTATATGTTTATTTAGAAAAGATCATTGAGACATGTATTAGCAAATATCAAATTGGTTATAAAAAATATGAAAGATCAAACATATTATAAGATTTCTTATAGACCCGCATGTATATTGAATTTTTTTCCTTAAATTACTATAGTTTAAAAGTGTGATCACTCTCGTGTTATCTTTAGATAACTTATTATGTTGTTTTAATATTATTTTTAAGTTTTAAATATTTGAATGAAATGAATATAAGATAAGCAAATGTGTACAGGAGACGAGAACAATAGCCACAAAGAAAAAAAGTTTTACTCATTAAATTTTATTGCTTTCTTTAGTGGCTCTTTAACGTATTTTTATGAATATTGAATTGTTAGTAAAAAAAAAAAGAACAACAGAAAATTTATTTCCACCGACCATTTCGTCTTAGTTAATTTCAAGCCCCGAGCCGGGCCGTGAAAAAAGTAGTATCAGAGCCCAGTTAAGGGTAGCAAGAAAATGATCATAAAAGAGTTACTAAGAAAATCAATAATAATTATCAAGATAATTAAAAAATAAATAAAAGTTTTGTTAATAATGTAAAATTTTGTTCTCAGATAATTGATTCTGGTCCGAAAGATACAAATGAAAATGATAGAGAGGTAAGAGGTGATGATTATCAAGATCGGATGCCTCAAACACATACTGATCCTCCATAGCATCCCCACTGAGACTTTTGCTCAGATGATGGTCGCATTTACAAGACATATTCAGGGTTCTCAGACCCAGGCCAGTGGTAGTAGAACAGGTCAGATGCATAAATATCTGAAGTTGTCCCAGGATATGAGACCACTTTTATTTTCATGAGCATGAGGGCCAGTTGAGGCAGAGAACTGTTGTTGATGGTAGAGAAAATTATTGATGGGTTGTCTTGTACTAGAGAGAGGGTAGTCACATTAGCTTCTTTTGCTTTCGAGAGGCAAGCAGAGGTGGTGGCGGAGTCGGCTTCAATAAAAGTTTAAAGATAGACCCAGTAGCCAATTCTGTGAGAAGAATTTGTGAAAACCTTCAGAGATTGGTTTATACCACTATCAGCTAAGAGACAGATGCAAGATAAATTTATTAAGTTTGTGCATAGATATCAATGAGTTATGCAGTATGAAGCAGAGTTTAATATACTATCGAGGTATGCACCACAGCTTATTCCTACTTCAGAGGAGAAACGCCACAAATCTCTTTCTGGTCTGAAAGATTCAATCAGGTAGCCACTAGTGTCACTTGGGATTGAAGACTATTCGGTACTAGTGGATCGAGCTAGGCAGGTGGAGATTGATTTCCAACAGACTCAGCATCGTAGAGGCATGCTTGAAGAGAAAGAGTTCAGAAGAATTGACACCAGCAATTCATTCAAGAGAATGAAAGTCCAGTGGTAAGAAGATAAAAACTTGTGCTGGTGGAGTTATTAGTCAGACTGACAATAACACTATGCAAGCGTGTGTACGTGGTGAATGTTTATCTGGGACAAAGGTGTGCAACTTATGCAGAAAGCCTAAACATCAGAGGAAAAACTGTATTAATTATGCTCAGAGATCCACATCAGATGTTCATTTAGAAAGGGATCCAGCTCAGAAGAATTTTCAGGAAAGATTTCTTTCTAGAAGTGGTCAACAAGGGATAACAGAAGCTAATACTATGGCGCGTAAGCAAAAAACAAGAAGGAATATTTGTCCAAGAGTTTATTCCCCAACTCATCAGGAACCAAAAGAACATGTTCCACCGATGCTGAGGCATAGAATTTGATATGTTCTAATTATCACATGACAAGAAACTGATTTTTATAATCACTTTTGTTTTATCTTTATAGTTGATGTGGAGTTCGTGAATTTCGAAGATAAAATTTTGCGAGGGGAGATTGTGATAAAACATTTTGAGAAATTTGATAAAATTTTTGGCGACGTAATATGTACCCAAATTTTCGCACCTCTTAGATTTTAACCGGATTAATTTATAAAATTCTACGCGTCAAATCAAACAATTTGATATATAATACCATAGATAAATTACAAATAGATTGAAAGATATAAAAACGTGAAGTTATAAGAATAATTAAAGTAATTAAAATCTTAATTATCCTAAATTTCTCCCTAATCTCGTCACTATAGCTATCCGACTTAATTCATGCATTATGATCGTCAAATAGGGGAATCGTCTATCCTGAGCTCTCGAATTTCCTCCTCCCCTCTCCCGTTACTCCTCACCCTCTCTTGGTTTCGTTCGCTCAACCTCCCTCCCTCTCGTTTTGCTTGGCAGAAGATCCGGAAGGGAGTTTAGATCGCAGCCAAGCCTACAACAGCAAGTAGAGGTGACCGGGAGGCCACCTGATAAGCAGCGACCCACTACCCACTTCTGATTTCCTCTCCCAACCCTTCCTCCGTGCTGGTTACTCTCCATGTTCGACCTCACAAGAATTGCGCGCCTCCAGTATTGTATCAAAGTCGTGCAGAGGAGGCGAGCCGCCTGCACAGAGCTGTAGACGACATATTAGGGCTCCGAAACATAATCAGTAAGTGGTAATTCCTATTTAACACTATTTGAGGCATTCCTTTTCTTGCATTTTCATTTTGAGTTTTGCCACAAATTGTGTGTATTTTTAGTTTGTGGTAGTCGTAGGAGGAGCCGATCTTGTGTTGAAAGTGTCGTAAGTGATTTGCTAGTTTCCGTAAAAATTTTAACACGAAATCAGTGCAAGGGAAGGGAAATTTGAGAAGATTGGAAGAAGAGAGAAGAAGATTTTTGCAGCTTCACAGAAGGGTTGAGTTGCCAGAAAGCCGTTTAAAGTATGTTTTGGAAAATTAATGATATTTTGAACTAAATTAGCTAATGAACTAATATATTATGAATTCCTAATTCGTTTAAGATTTTAGAATGACAGCTTGAGGCTGCGAGTTAAGGGTAAGGATGTAAAAGATCATCGTAAGACAACTCTATAAATTTCAAGTAACATAATCATACACTAATTTAAGAATAATAATTTAATTTATGAAAATCACACGAATCTTAAAGTTTAATATTATATTTTATAAGTTATTAAGCTCAATATAAAAAATCACTGCAACCTCCAACTAGCTATGGAAGATCAAGATTTTTCCAAGACAATTGAGGTGAGTAATTACGTTTCTAAATTTCAGTAATTTTTTTTATTTCAAAATGTATGTTGATTTATATCTATGTTTCAGTACAATTAGATTTATATTGCAGCAGATTCTTCATATTGTTAGATTAGAAAAGATATAGTAGATATGCATTAGATGCATGATATGTATAATAAACAAGGTATGCAAGATAAATATAATAGGCATGATAGAAAACATATAAGCATGATAAGGATAAACATGATATAAAAGATATTGATGAGAGACATGAGATACATGATATGTAAGATATGAATGATATAATGGATATACATGATACAAGAGATATGTAAGAAATAAGAGATCTGAATGAGGTGAGAGATATGCATGTTATGAGAGATATATATGACGAAAATTTGCACAGTAAAGAGAAAGTATGTATGTTATCTAGATGCATAAAGATATCTCAGAATAGTGTATGTTATGAAAAATGAAATAACTAACCTATGAATACCTGTATGTGCATGTTCAGATGAGTATTTCACCCCCTAATGGAACAAGCAAGAGACGTCAATGTACCAGAGCACATAAAGTTTTTCTACCACCCCAGACAATTGTGATAGTTCACTAACAACTGTTTTGAAGGGATAATATTGGCCAGAGGTGAGTAGACCAAAGTTTATCTCCTTATACAATTATGATGTTTATATTGCTAACTGATGTGCCAACGAGATAATATTGGTAAGGATCAGGTAAGATTCTTTCCACACTAGACATTTGTGATGTATAAATCGCTAGCCACTGTGTCGACAGAAGCTGACCGGACAATATTGGCCAAGAGTGTGTTAAGTTTGTCGACGGTGATCCTCACAGAAATAGATATGCATCTAAAGAGTATAAAGTAAAGTAAATGCATATAGAAGATTAATATATGTTCATTTAGAAATGATCAATGATACATGTATTAACATATATTAGATTGCTTATAACAAATATGAGAGGCCAGAATATTATAAGATTTCTTAAAGACGTGCATGTATATTGAATTCTTTTTCTTGGATTACTGTAGCTTAAAAGTGTTATTACTCTTGGGTTATCTTTAAATATCTCATTATGTTGCTTTAGTACTATTTTTAGGTTTTAAACATTTGAACATGATGAATAAAATATGAGCAAATGTGTACAGAATTATTGAATTTTTTTGCCTTCTTTAGAGGTTATTTTATGCATTTTTTTGAATATTGAATTGTTAGTAATAGAAATAGAATAATAAAGAATTTATTTCCACCATCCGATCCCGTCTTGGATGTTGGCGGTAGGAAGAAGAGGGAAATAGGGTCGGTGGTAGAGAAACAGGGTAAGGGGCAGCAAGTTTGACTGGAAAGAGAAGCAACAAGTAGATGACTGCTAGAAGGCATACGGGCAGACCAGCAGGATGCTGAAGGTGAGCCGAAAGGGAACAACAAGCTAGCAGCTTGCGGGAAGGTGTGAAGAAAGGTTGGCGGCCTGCTGAAGGTGAGCCAAAGAGAGGGCAACAAGCTGACGACTGCTGGACTACGTGGGAGAGGGGGCCAAAGAAAGATAAATGTCTTGTCGGTGTTAAGCTACAAAGAAGCACCACCATAACCCTTAGAGACGGTCATCACCTTGGACAAGTTACGACCGAATCACCTTCTCGGCGTAGAATACAACCCCCGAAGGAGAAAATCGCCTCAAAAGCAGTAGTTGAAATCAGCAATCATCCAAAAACCAACACCTATATAAAGAGAGAATTAGTAGATAAATTAGGTAAAGAGTAGGATAGGAAAGAGATATAATAGGCAAGGGGAGGAATATGAAAGAAGTAGAGAAGGAAAGACCTTATAATGGGAAAGCATCAAGAAATGAAATGAAATGAATTAAATAGAAAATGGGCTCAAGGTTACTATAGAAGCTACAGTAATGCGTCCTCGATACTATGTCAATCTCCTGGGGTTGGGGGGCTTCGACATCATCCGTTGATGCTTTTTGGGTAGAGAAATTTTGGCAGGAGGTGGCTTGGATGGAGGAGAATGCTAGAGAATCCTAGGATATAACTAACATTGAGCTAGCTCTGATACCAAATGATACTAGAGGTAACTCAAATCACAACGGAAACACAAATATTATTTTTGAGTTCCAAACGGATTACAAACATGACACTTGAAAAGCAGAAAGTAACGAAAAACAAACACGAACATAAATCATAAAAGAAGCCCATGGGTGATAACGGGGATGGAGCCATGGGTGATAACGGGGATGGAGGCTCTAGACAGTGGGTTGGTGGCTGATGGAAGATGGTTGTGGCTAAGGAGAGGTGGCAGGAGGGAAGGGCAGTTGCTGAGAGATGGTTGTTGTTGCTGGAAGAGGGGAAGGTGATTGACAGTTGTAAGAGAGGGTTGTGATTGTTGGAAGAGGGGGGGGGGGGGGGAGGTGGGGTGGAAGGCAGTAGAAAGTGGTGTTCTTGAAGTGTTGGACAATAGCTAGAACATATGTCAGCGGCTGGGCACCAGGAGGTAGTTTGGATAGTAGTCGAAGGTTAGGCAGCACTCGGAAGAGGGATAACATGAGTTGGACAACAACCAAAAGGGAGATGGTGTGGTCAAGACAGCAGCCAAAAGGTGGTTTGCAGCTGTTGAAAGCGAGGTCGGAGGGGCTGCAGAAGGATAAAATCTTGTCAAGGTCGAGCTACAGTCAGAGAACCACTTGTACCCTTCGAGACAGTCACCACTTCGGACAAGTTACAACCGCAGGCGATAAGCTCCCGCGTCATGCATGTAGTGTTATCTTGGCAAGTATAAAAGTGGTAAAAACCCAAAATATAAGAATCCTATCACTTGAAGCAATCTACTCATCATCTCCCTCCGAAATTTGAATTCAAATGTAGCGTTATTTTGAATGTAGTAATCTAATTGTGAAAGCTTCATATATAGACATATGATCAAAATAAATTAAAAGAATACTTTGATTGTGTTTTCTTTCAAATTAGGGCCCCTCCTCCTCCCACTTGGTGGTGGCAAGTTTGATGGAGGTTTGGTGAACTCCATACCACATTTATATGATTTTTTTTTATGAGAGATCATGTGAATATGTTTTCTCTTTTTGTTAATGTATCCCCAGTCCTCCTCCTACCACCGGATGGTAGTGAGTCTTCCTCCATTATTAGTGGTTAATAGTCATTTTATTCAAAACCTATTGCACACCCCTCTCACTTCATTAACCTTTCCACTAAATCCACAAAGTCAAACATACTTACTCAAACCGTTAAATTATTAAATCTTTTGAAGGTTACCCCAAGGCTAAGATTGGAAGTTCACCCTCCCATCACTGTCATGATCCCATATCCACTCTATTAGTCATCCTACATCATCCTTACTTCATATCTACAAGGGTCATATCCATTTCATGACACCACCTTCCGTGTGTCATCAAAAAGATTATCATAAGTGTATGAATGAATGCATACTAATTGAGATAATAACAACTTGATTGAATGGGAAGAAATTAATGTAAAAAAATAACAATGGTAAAATGGTGATAAAATATACCACACAAACTCTCAAAAGATCCCTTTAGATGATTGGCCTTCTCCTCCGCCTTTATCATCCTTAATCGAACTTTCTCTAACAACAATCCCTTTGATTGTATATCATCTTGCAATTGCTGAAGAAAAGAAACGAAAATAAATAAAAAATATGATGAGACTTTTAACAAAAAAATACCAATTAGAAAAATAATCTTATAAATAAAAAAAGAAGTTACCACAATTTCTTGCTCAAGTTCCACCGTATTCGTTGTTGTGTCGGGAATAGTCTCAACAGAACGAGAGCTCTTCATATCTTTCAATGTGAGTTGCTTTGACATGAAAGTTCTTTCTTCAATAATTCGCCGCCTCTAAGAGCAGATATTGAGGTAACAGAAGGTTGAAGATGAGTAGCACAAATGAATACCACAATATCAACAATCTATTACCTTGACATTTCGTACTTCCTCTTCAATTTCCTGTGATGCTATATCTGCATTTCTTTTCTTTTCTTTTCCTTTTTCAATCAAATCTTGGATGATCTCGGTCTCCCTCTCAAGTTCATGCATTTGATTCTCAATTGAGCTGCAAAGACGACCATTCCTAATTCTCTTGTTCGGTGGAAGAGTAGTCTGAACTGAACCTCTATAAAACCTGATAGGAATATTGATAAACAAATTAGACAAGCTTAAATAAGATAAACAAAAAGAAAAAAAATTGAGGAAAAATACAAAATTTATAATAAATGCATTTTTCAAATAAATACTAATACTGAATTGATCATAGATGAATTCAAAAGCATTAAGGGTTGCTTGGTTGCAAAATACATACATGCATGCACATATGTGTATACATGCATATGTGCGTACGTGCATACATGCATACGTACATCCATACATAGGTGCACACAAACTTAATATTTGCATACATACATACATACACATATGTGTATACGTGCATATGTGCGTACGTGCTGCATATGTGCGTACGTGATGCATATGTGCGTACGTGCATACATGCATATGTGCGTACGTGCATACATGCATTCATAAGTCCATACATATGTGCATGAGTGCAAATATTCGTGCATACATACATTCATATATACATGCATACATACAAACATGCATGCATGCATACATACAAGAGTTGCATTGGCTAATAGTTTGTGTTGATGAGCTAGATCGCATTAGCAGGCATGGCAATGTCCATGTAGAGGTTTCGTCAATGTGTGGGTTGAAAACTCATTCGCTCTATATAGTACATTCCAAATTCACCTGATTTGCGTAAATTCGGAATACATTGAAATTGGCTTAAGAGATGTATTCCAATTTCCTCTTAAAATTAAATTGTATTTTTTTCTTCCAATCAAACATCTAAAAGCACATAGTCCCTCCATTTAACAGTGCGCCCATCATACACTCAACCAAATATGCCCTTGCTATTCAAGAAAAAAAAACCCCCAAATAAGCCTTGAAAAAAAAATAATAATCAAGCATGTTATATTGCAATAAAACAAGCCTCATTAAGTCATAAATTACTTCTAAATTTTGTTTTTTACCAAGACATATTTCAATGTCATATTTCCAAAAAGTATTCATCCATGACCTGCTAGCATACATCAGTTGAATCAATATATAACAAGTTTCTTGACAAATATTGAACGTGTACAAAATCCTAGGCTTGATTGTCCAATCATTCAACTTCAATAAAATTAAGTATCTCTGATTTGTTCTTCATCTATGATTGGTCATAATTTTCTCTATTATTTCCTACCCAATTTTTTTATTTATTTTAGGGTTCGAAAAAAGTAGGTTATCAGTATCAAATTACGTCAGTTTTGGGAGAACTTTTGGCCAATTCTATGTTTAATTAACAGAGCATGCAGGAGGATTTAAAAGCCATTATTTTTAGAAGGATAGATTACATTCTAAAACCATCAGAAGTGTAGACCTCCTTCATATTTTGAATTCTCTGTTCAAAAGCAACATCTTTGCCTATCTCATAGTTTGGAACGAGAACTTGTCTTTCAGCACTACCCTGCAACGTAGATAAGGATATTTACTTCAATAATTTACTGAAAGTAAGCTTACCATGAAATAGACACAAAGAAACATGTCAAATAAAGAATGATAAAACAGACCTAAGGAATAAAGTTTCTCAAATTGAATAATAAAAATGTTCATGGCATTAATGATAAAAGAAGGATACAAGAACCTTTTCCCCCACTTACTGAAATACCCAATTTTTTGAAATGGTAAAATAATCAAGTTGTAAAAATTATATGCCCTCGTTATATTACCTTACAAAAGAGCAAAAGAGATAAATAATATTTTTAAATAATTTGAAATTTTCCAAGGATCATTTTGAGACACAAATATATATAGATATATATATATATATGTATTGATTTATTTAAATTAACTTAACGAATAAAGGATTACGCAAAGTTCATATAATCTCACTGATCCTACAAATAATGTAACTGTACATTGAGTTCAAGTATTTTAGCTTCCTATTTGACTGTACATATACCATGGCAAGAAATGGGCGATGCAAAAAGCTACAATTTCGATTTTTTTTTTTACTTTAAGAATTCCTTGTATAATGATTATTGTTGACACTTAAAATGAAATAAAAAAGAGAAATAATTAATTTGAAGAGGAAGGAATGATGTGATAATTTTATTTATAGATGTATTGGGGAATTCAAAATCATTATAAACCGATCCAGATACAATAATCCTCCATGATGTGTATAAGAAAAGGGGTAATAAGGGATTAAAAGAAGTAATCCTAAAGAAAAAATGAATGGAAAAGAAAAAGAATGAGAAAAATATGAATGTAACGTCGAGGAGAAACTTGAGGTGATGGCTCTCTCAAAAATTGGTTCCGCCATCCACTTTAAAGAATTAAAAGTATAATCATGGATATTCCCTTCTAACCTAAGATTTTTGCTTATAGACTGCTAATTGAGTAATTTAAATTAATAAGAGATCAAACTTTTCAAAGATGATATTTCCAATTGATTTAATGATGCTGAATAAATAATAATTAAAATAAATATATAGATTGTATTAGTTTTTGTGTGGAGTATTTGTTATAAGGGAAAACTTTGAAAGGAAGATCTAAAGAACTGAATGTTGTTTGTTTATGTATATTTTCAAGTTCTAGATGGAAAAAAACTGAACAACGGTATGCACCAGTCATAAATTTTTGGAAAAATTAAAATTAAGTTTTGAATTTACTTGAGGGCAAGTAAAATATAAGTTTGAGAGATTTTAGCATGTGCGTATAATGTGCTTATTTATCATCTTTAAATTGTCTTCTTGTATGTTTATGTTATGTTTTTTGAAGGTATTCTGTATTGAAAAGCAGGTAGCAGTGCAAGAAGCAAATCAGAATTCAAAATAAGCAAATAGAGCAAAGTGGTGTTTTGGCGCCTAGACGTTAAAACTTGGGCCTAAGAGTCAGATCCAGTCTTTTGGAATGAAAATACAAAGCGGTCAGAAAGTAGTTGTTGGACATGGAACGTTGAGGCATTGTCTTGCAGCGCCTAGGCACTTGAATTGGGGATGCACGGAATCCCAGCGACATAATTACAGCGTTGGGGTGCTAGGAGTGCAGTTCATAGGCGCTATAGAACAATGATATATTGTCAGCATTGTCAATCCCATTAGTTACGAATAGAGGATAGAGCAAGGAAGGTTGGAAAGGCTATGAGCCTTTGTAAACTCTATAAGCTCATTTGCAAGTGATTGAACCTAAAATGAATTTATACATCCGTCCATCCATCTATCTATCTATGCATCTATAATGTGCATTGTGTTAGGGGTTGGATATTACATCTCAATGATTTGAAAAAATATCAAAAGTTAGGGCTTACAACACTACCCTACTGGCCCAAAATGTTTTCTTTTCTAAACTGAATTTTCATTATAGAAGGCATTATGCAAATGTATAACAAAAGGATTTTAAATTCTACACATGATCTTTATGTTACCGCCTGTAAATTTATCAATATACAAACTCTATCGCTTTACTCACATTTATAGATCATATGTCTAAAATAACACTGTCACATACCTTTTAAGTGAAATAAACAATTTCATTCATAGATTTATGACTATAAAGTATTATAAATGTAAATATGAAAGTTTAGGTGTTATATAGGTAAATATATAAGAATTGTGTGGTACTTATGTAAATTTCCCAAAAATGAAAGCGCTGAAAATATAGAGTTCGAATGTTCAAGGCATATTATAACAATATATTCACTTCAAGTATTTTTTTAATTTGAAAAGGCCTGCAAGTAAAAGAAGTATGCAAAAGGTAATTGGTCAAAAGTAACGCAAAAAGGGCCATAAAAAGACAAATGTGAGGTTCCCAAGGGTCCACGGAAGTAATAGAATCTAGGGAGTTAAGATCGCTTACTTGGAGGCTTAGAAAAAAAAGTAAAGGCAAGGCTGTTGATGCCGATGCAATGCGAGAAGAAATTAAAATATAATATTCATATTTAGAGAAAGCTTGTTTGAATATTTCGGTAAAAACTCATACTAACCATGTCTACTAATACATTCCATATGGTAGGATTCTCTGTACGCAATACGGAGATAGTAGTTGAATGGCTAGTCAAAGGAAGCAAGTGACTGGGTATATTAAGCCTGCAAAAGCAACTATTGAAATCAAAAGTTGCTAAGATTTCGTTTCAAACCACAAAAATAACAAGTACACTGCAAGGAAACACACAATCCTAAAATAAAAATTAGAGGCATTTACATAACATGATGAATTTACATATCTCACATCTAAATTTTCATATTTACACAAAACACTCAAACCTTTAATTTAATATCACATAAAAAATAAAAATATTATCACTTTTTCAATGTGAAATACAGCTTCTCATATATAAATTTAAATAATCCAAGTGCTATGTACGTAAATACGAATTTCAGGTGTGAGTTATGTAAAAACATAAGAATTGCGTGCTATGTAAATTTCCCTAAACAAAGCAGAAGCCAAACCTTGGCCTTGAGAAATCGTAGATGATAATCTGAAGATTATGATAATTTACTTCTCTTGCACAAGCTCTTAAAACAAGTGAATCCTTATGATCAGTGACAATAAAGGCATCTAATAACCTTCCAATGGCATTCTCAACAGCAAGAGCCCAGGTGTCATCGTTCGCCAAAGACTGCAATATACAAGGAATGCTGTCAAGCAAACATAAGACACTCTTAAACAACTTTCATGCAACAAAAAAATTGCATCAAGTTGTGCTCTAACTACAGACTCATCACAACATTCAAAAACAGATTTTGCAACCACCGCCATAAAACCAAGACCCCAGTAATGCAATAAATTTAAGGATTACATTCTATTTTCACAATAAAGGAATGTCTTTTCCCAGCCTAAATACATGCACACAGATATATATATATATA